ATAAGGGCCTTTTGCTGGGAGGTAGTACTCCAGAAAATCAACAMCTTAGATATGCTRCAAAAAAGAAGGCCAAACTATTGCCTTTCACCCCACGTGTGTAGCCTCTGCTTGGCCTGTGGTGAGACCATTACACACTTATTTATATCCTGTCCTTTTGTAGCCTTTGTTTGGAATTGGTTTTCCTCTCTTTGGATGCAGGTGGACCCCTCCTTCGGATGTAGTAAGAATCTTTGATCCGAACTTCTTTAGACCTCCAAAGAAGGGGAGAGCATTGTGGAGAGCAACAAGAGCAGCTCTTTTGTGGTCAATTTGGGAAGAAAGAATCAATAGGATCTTCCAGGGTTCTGAAAGATCTAAGGAGCAAATAATTGACTACATATCTACCAAGGTCATTCATTGGGTTAAAGCATCCCCTTTATTTAAAGATTATTCAGCTGATGATTTGTTTAGAGGATGGTACACTGGCAAACTCTTCCTCATTGAGGTCTGTGTTAAAGGAGCAATGGATCCCTCCTGCACATCATTGGGTGAAGCTGAACTTCGATGGGAGTTCCTTAGGAAACCCGGGTCCCTCTGGGGTGGGAGGAGCTTTCAGAGACAGGGAGGGCAGACTGGTTGCACTGTATTCAGGTCCGATAGGTGATAGACACTCTTTGAGAGCAGAGATTATGGCCTTGCTAGTAGCTGACTCAATCATCAGTTGTACATGGCATTTCTTCTTGAGCTTAATAAAAGTTTCTTGTTACCTACTTTTTTTTTGAGATAGTTAACGTATAAATGTATAATACTTGATGTACAATCAAATTTTGTTTCAGTTCTATGCAGTAACTGTACAAAACCACTCTCTAGTCTCTCTACATTGGCATTTTAAGCAAAAAAGTGTTGCCTTATAGAATATTTCCTGATCTCACATTCTTTAATTCTTTCCACTGAACCATGAGAAGTCCTTGGCCACTGCACTCCTAATAACTTCTGTGACATCCTATTCCTGGTTGTAAAAAATTCTTCTGTTTCTATCTCCCCATTCCAGAAGCCTACTTTGTAATCCCATTTCAGCATTTTCTTTTCTTTGATTTGCCATGTCATATTTCACTGTAACTTTTTGCCCTAGAATTCTTTTGCAGCATGAACTTAAGAAATTTCTTGGTCTTTTAAACTTGCAGATGTTCCTCAGCGCTTTAATAGATGTTGCCGGGCATGCTGGCAAGTTAGATGTTGCCTTTCAAATCATAGAGGATGCCAAAAAACAAGGAATGCAACTTGGAAATGTATCATATAGCTCATTGATGGGAGCCTGCAGCAATGTATGTACCATCTGGTGGTTCCAATGTTGAATTTGCCTTTTTTTTTATAATGTGTATTTTTTATTAGTAAGATAATTCTGTAATTAATGCAAAAGTAAAAGGAGAAGATACCCCTATACAAAAAGTTTATTATTTTATCAGTAACAGAGATTCAGATTTTATTATTATAGTGTGAAAAGAACTCATCCCAGAAAACAGAGTTGAAGAAAGTACAAAAAACAGCCTATGGCTAATCTATATTGTGATGTGGACGTTTTTATTGGGAAGACATATCACAGCCGGCAGCAGCAGTAAAGGGAGCAAGATTTGCTGATTCTCATCTAATCTAATTCTAGCTAGATACAGTTCTTATCTTATCAGTTCAGTAGGATAGATTAAGGGAGTCTTATCTTATCAGTTCAGTAGGATAGATTAGTAGGAGTCTTCCTAAAAGTAGGATTCTTATCTCTTGTAATCTCCTATTTAAGGAGCTGATTTTATTCAATAAAGGCATCAAAAATTTCAGTCAAGAAAGAGAGCAAGGAGAGTTAGGTGATCTCTTGGACAAATCACCGTTAGGGCGCCAAGATAGGTTCATCAAGAGCAGGGAGGAACAAGGGAAAACAGGAGGTTTTCCCCGTGGACCGACTCGTGACGAAATCCTATTCCCGGGCCCATAACATATTGTATATACAAAATTTCAACTTTGTTACAATTATATCCCTGAACCTGGCTCAAAAAGGTACTATTATAAGCATTTTTTTTTGAAATAGGTAAAGTATACTATTATAAGCATTCAGCTTCATGCACAACATATACATCAATCCACTCCTTCCAGTGCTTACAAAAAGAACAGAAGGTTAGTTCTTTAAAATCAGCAAGGATGGTATCCCAAGAGAAAAAAAATGGGTATTCCATGGCCCACACTATGTTACCCAGACATGGCAAAGACATGGCTGGACAAGGTGTACAATACAGAATTTACACTAAAAATTGAAGTGTCCGACATGGTACAGCACTCTTGTACAAGTATCATAGGTTCAAAGATTTCTTGTCTCTCCAAATGCTCCTGTAAATTGCAAAAGAGTCAAGCTCCAAAGAATACCACCTTGCTTGCTGAAACCCCTATAAGTCAAGAATTATTTTGACAAACTCACCTAGGATTTCCAATTGTCTTCCAAAGAGTTTTACACAGTCCTTTCTTTAATCAAAATATTGCAATGAGTTAATAGGTTTAGCAGGTATCTGGCTGGCACATATTGTACATGCATCAATCGTTTTTTTCCCTTTGATGAGCAACAGTAAAAGATGCTTTATTACTGAAAAAGGAGTTGCAGCATATCCAAAAATTTCAATATCCATATATAAATGAATGTGCTAATATTCCCCATAAAAAATTTTCCCTTGTAGCTCCCAATTTAGCTAGGGAATCAGCTAGCCTATTGACTGATCTAGGTGTCCACGCAAATGAGGCATTTAGTTTGGCAGCTAGGGCTCTAACTTCTCTAACTAGAATTCTAAGTGGCCAAGCTACTGCTTCCCCTTGTTTGATCAATTTTTTACAACTTGACAACCCCCTTCAACAAGTAATTCCATGCATATTGGATAAACAAAGTCTTAAACCCTTGATTAGTGCTAACAGTTTTAAACTAAGAGTCTATGTCTCTAGGATAAGCTTAAAAGGATGTACCCCCTGTCATCTCTATAGCTCACCAGATAGTCCTGGGGTTGCCTAGACTGCACCTGTTAAAGTTCAATTTATTCCTGCCCATCTCCACTGCTTGCTATCCATATTATTCCTAATTTGTCTCCTAATGGATCAACCTGCTACATTCTGCCACCATGCATACATCTATCATGGCACCTCTTGAAATAAGATTATCAAGTGTGTCATCATATGCTTGTTCCTATGGATAGTTTGTAAATTGTAATTAATGGAGATAAGTATGTGGAACTGTGTCAGCTGACACCAGACAATTTTGGTCAAATAAATTTAGTGTTTATGTGGAGGTACTTACATCCCAGATTTCTGTTGGTTCCTCCATGCTTGTATTTTGAAATCTCTGCACTGCTTGTTGTATTTCATGCCTGATCCTAGCACATTTTCCAGGATTTACCACTTACTTTTGTCCCTTTTGTAATGCGTCTTTTCATTACTTTGTCAATAAATCTGTGTAGCTGTGAGAATTTGCACTGATGAATGTTAATAATAGGTGTTCAATTCTTATTTCAGGCAAAAAACTGGCAGAAGGCACAGGAACTATATGAGAATATTATGGCCATTAAATTGCATCCAACAGTCTCAATGATGAATGCATTGATCACTAGCTTATGTATGTTCCTTCTGGATTACCTCTTTAAACCATGTCATTTTAAACAAGAATGATTAGGATTCTATTCTACCTTATTCATTTTTATTGTGGGAAAATACTGGACTAAGATGGATGAGCCTAGCCTAACTGTAAGAACCATACCAGTCTGGAAGATCTAAGATCAAGCCAGACGCAGTAGAGTGGTCCAGCCTTGAGACAACAAGACATGGTGTCTTGAGTGGTGAAGACTGGATTCAATCCCAGTCATGGAGAAGCACCAACAACATGCTCTTCACTATCTGGCACCTTCAGCTTCCGTTCTACCTTTTGAAGTTCTATGTTTCCCTGTTTCAATCTAGAGTCATGTTAATGTAGCAATGATTCTATGAACTTCTATGTAGTTAACAAATACATTTTCTTTTTTATGTGCACAGTACCCTTTTTATGAACTATTCCTTGTAAACCCTTTATCACACGTTCTTGTAGTTTCACCTAAGAACCAACATGGTCTCACATGTATTGATCAAAATAAAAGTAGACTATCACATCTAAAAAATCATGAAGCTGACATTTAATAAAAAAAGCATGCTTGGAATGCTTATCATTCTATATTACTTGGAAATTTGTAATCGTATCGTAAATTGTAGAGAAAATTGAATTGAATGGAATTGTGAATCATATTGTAAATTGTAAGATTATTTCTATTTTTACAAAACTTGTAAAGAACAAAATATAGATATATTTAAAGGCAAAATATATTATAGAAAAGTGATTCTACCCTATTTTTAATCCATATCTACATGTATGTACCTAAATCAATAGAATTGGCCACTTATACAATAGAAGTCTAAGATGATATAATCAAATTTGACTTGAAAGTCAAATAATCTACATACAAGGATTCTGTTTCCTATATATGATGAAAAATGAACTCAATATATGGTTTAAATAACATAAATAAGTCAATTTTTAGTAAGGTATTTATAATAAGTCACCTTTGACAAAACTAACTATTAACAAAATAAAATGACAAAGTAGAGAACTAATTCTTAATTGAATTGATTTGAATTGCAAGAATCGTATAAATTGTAAGATATCTGATTCAAATCATAGGATTCAAACAATAATAATAAGATTTATGCATATTCAGATTCAGAAATAAGACTCAAAAATCATATCGTAAATCGTAAGATATTAACAACAATGGTTGTGCTAGAAAACTGGTGGATCTTTCTTTGTTATAATCTGTAACAATTTAGTGGATAATTTATATATAATTTATTGTTCTTCTTGTTGGAGTAAGGAAAGCAAAGGGAGTGGTTTGTCCTTTTGTATTTTTCATAGGGAGTAAAAAATCAATTATTTACTTGTTAAATGACAGGGATCAGTTTTCTACTTATATTTGTATTGCATTAAAACTATCTACATTCATGACCTATATAGTTAATTCAATTGAACTATGAAGATTTGCAATTAGAGGAAAAGTGGGTATGTCCAATAGATTATCTTGAAGTGGCCTGAATACTTTGATTTTGTATCAATAGGTATGTCCAAAGACCAGCATTTCCTATTACTTTGGGATCTTATTGTTGCTAAGTTAATAGCTCTGTTTATATGGTTTTAAAAGATGGATTATTTATCTGCTTTGCTTGTCTTCATAGACCTCTATATTAGAAATGGTAATTTACAAGCATTTATAAGAATTATATTCTAATCATCTTACTTATTATTTAATATGGTTGATAGTTAGTATATTATAGTTAATTATTATGAATATTGCATAGTTATACACTTTTTTCATCATTAACACTGATTAAAGAGAATTTATTGATATCCCTGCTGTAAAGAGAATCCTACATCAGGTTACAGTACAAGTCATGTAAAATAGAAAGTTCTGATAGAAACAAGAGTAAAAAAAGTGTAGAAGGCAAATACACTTATCAGCCTTGACAGTAGGCCCCTGAACTTCATGCTCCCTAGGATAAGTCCTGTCTAGGAACTCCTTCCCTTGCAAGACTATCTAGTGGTTTCACCTTTATAATTAGGAATATAAAATCTCAAGGTCCTCAAATTGCTACAGACAGACATTCAATAACAACTTGGCAGTCACCTTCAACTAAAAGACTTTACTTATGGTAAATCTATTTGTTCTATTAAGAAATAATACTTCCACTCACCAATAATGGCATGCTCCAATTATGATTTCTGTCATCTTTTGTTGCTTTGGTGGAATTGGATAACTGCAAATAAGGTTGAGGAATCATGTAGTCAGACATTCTTACAGGTGAGGGGAACCAACTGCAGAAGGCTGTTAAGGTTCTAGATGAAATGAAGGAAATAGGCATATGCCCTGAAAATATTACATACTCCATTCTTTTGGTAGCTTGTGAAAAGTAATTTCTCTACACTTTACTCTTTAGGTTTAACAATAATAAAGTTCTCAAGGCCTTTTTCAAACTATTCAGATTTAATTCTCCTCTCCTGTATTTGTAGGAAGGATGAGCTAGAATTAGGCTTCACACTCCTTTCTGAAGCCAAGAAGGAAGGCATTGTCCCTAACCTCATTATGTGCAGATGTCTGACTGGTAAGCTCATTGCACACTTCCGATTGATCAGCTTCTTTTTGTTATTTATACTCGTGATTATTTTGTTGCTCAGGAACTATTTCTTACTGTTTCTTTAAGCTTTAAAAATTATAGGTTTGGGTGCCTTTTGGCTTTGGTTTAAATGTACAAATGCCAAATGTTTAATCCAAATTTCTATAATTTCATTCATTTATTGTTTTTATGGAGCATAATGACCAATTAAATGTGATGCCTTGGAAGGGATGTGCTTACGGAGGTTTGAGAAGTCTTCTTCAATGGGTGAGCCTGTTCTATCCTTCAGTTCAGGAAAACCACAAGTCAACAATAAATGGTATATCATCTAAAGAGCTTCTGAGCTTGTTCCGTGTTTAATGAATGTAGACATTCACTATGATCATGCTTTTAACTTTTGATAAAATTGAGCTTTTTGTGTGGTCAGAATGTTTGCATAGGTAACTGATAACTTGTAACTTGTATTAATTAGCACTTTAAAATGTTAAGTAGCAGTACATAGCTCTGTCCAGAGCCACCCTTTTTTCTTACGAGTACAAACTAGCCCAAAATAAATGTTCCCTTGATACTCCTTGCTTTGGTAAAGTCTCACCTTTGATATTGCTACTCCTTTAATCAATTTATAGGCATGTCAGCACATTTACCATCACCTTAATCATCCGTTGGGTTGAGATATCAGTTTAGACATATATTATTGTGTTGTGACTTATTGATGGTCTTGATTCTGCAGTCCCCCACAAGGGATAGGCATTAGGCAATTGCTGAGCCTGACTAAAATGGAGAAATGATTAGAGGCTCCAAGGAGGTTGTATAAAAATATAGACTAATTGACTCCACATTCAAATGCCACATGGCTTCCATATATGCTGTCACATGGCATTCGCATGTCATTGACTTACATTCAAATGCCATTTGGCATGTACATGCATAAAACATTCTGTTGTATCCAAATGCCATTATTACTTTTACTTTAAAAAACATGTTTTTGAAAAATTTTCATCCAAATGGTTTTCAAAGTAAAAATACGAAAGTAAAAGTATTCCATGTGCTTTGTACTCTGGTATTATTAAGAGTATAAAGTACGAAGTACCACCAAACAATGCCTTAGATTCTTTATGTTTTTATTTTTATTTTTTATTTTTTTGTTATTCACACCTATGAATGATCAGGCTTCTTTCCACTTCACTCTTCTAAACTGAGTTGTTTGCCATCTAGTTAAACATAAGTTATCTCTATGCTTTGCGATTTTATTGCATTAACCATCCCATTTGTTTATTTTTGATAATTTATTTTCTCAGAGATTAAAGTTAGATGAAAGCCTTCATTCATGTCAAAACTATTAAATTTTGGACTGTTGAAAATTTGACTTAACACAAGTAACAATAAGAATTTTTCTCACAGTAATATTAATACCTTCATTTACTGACAGGACATCATTGGCCTTAATGGTTTACCGTGAAACAATTGTAGCTGGTGTCGTACCAACCATGGAAGTATTTTCTCAAGTTTTAGGATGCTTGCAGCTTCCTCGTGATACTTCTTTGAGAGAAAGACTTGTTGAGAATCTTGGTGTCAACACCAGTTCTTCAAAACACTCAAGCATATATTCATTGATAGATGGATTTGGGGAATATGATTCACGTTCTTTTTCTCTACTTGAGGTCAGTGAAAATTTAAAACCATTCTGACTACATTCTGAAATTTTGAATTTTTATAATTCTAGACATTAATTTAGCATTTTATAAATTTTAGGAAGCTGCTTCACTTGGTGTTGTTCCATGTGTATCCTTCAAAGAAAGTCCAATTGTTGTTGATACAAGGAAGCTGGACGTTCACACTGCAGAGGTGAGCCTGTTCATAACAAAAAGTGTGGAAGTACTAATGATTTCCCTGTAGAAGTATTCGTTTTATTTTTATTGAAAGCCTTAAGCTTGGGAACCTGGGAGCTCCACGTAGTGTTAGTTGGTCTTGAAATTTAAGCTAGCAATACCTTTTTAGTGCTTTAATTAATTGCACATTTCTGAAAAGTTTTAGGCAGCAACGTTATTTCTTACACTTTTTTGATGGAACCTATAGCAACTTATCTTTGTAAGACATTTTCTTAAGCTCAATACTTACCCTTGTGTTTGAAACTATGAAATCTCGTTCAGTTTATACAATTACATTGACATTATAGATGGTTATTGAAGTTAAAGTAATTCTCCTTGTTTCCATTTATCTTAGATCATGACAATTTTCTAGGTTTAGAAAACCAATTTTCAGTGCATCAGGACCATCATTTATTTGATGCTTCATGACAACATCTTACTGTTTCCTCTCTGTAAACTGTTCAGGTTTATTTCTTAACAATTTTGAGAGGTCTCAAGCATCGTCTTGCTGCTGGTAATACTATCTCCAGATATTTGATTTCCTGAAGTCAATTTTATACATTGCTAGGATCTTTGCAACTTTCCACATTTTCAAACTAAATTGGAGCTGCCCATCATAGGGGTGATGAACTTGTTGGACTCAACACAAAAATTATATTCCCTAATTGTTTTAGAAACCAAATAAGAAGAAACCATAGGCTGAATATTTAGATGCTCAATCTCATGCTTATTATGGGTTTGTTTCAATTTTCACCAAATTAAATAGGCTTGGAACAGCTGCAAGTTGCCCCCATTTAGACAAAATTACCATTTAGGAAATAAATATACCCTGCATAGACTTCTGAACTTAAAATTCTTTGCTGCTCGTGCTTCTTTGGATTTTGTGCAGGTGCAAAGTTGCCCAATGTAACAATATTACTGCCTCTTGAGAAAACAAAATTTATGTCCAACAAGGGAAATAGAACGATTAATTTGGCAGGAAGGTGAGAAATGCTTCTATTGAACTACAACATAGTTTTGGTCTCCCTTATCTCTTTTGAGCAAAATGTAGATTTCCATAATCAATTTGTTTAGGATGCTCATTGCATTTAGTTTGACAGGATTGGTCAGGCCATTGCATCCTTGCTGAGGAGGCTACGACTAACCTATCAGGGAAACGAGTCATATGGGAAAATAAGAATCAATGGACTTGCCTTAAAACGATGGTTTCAACCCAAGCTTGATTCACCCTTCAGTGGAAAACCGGCAGAGTTGAGCTCATCGCCAACAAGACTAGGTAAAGGAATCAGTGACCAGCAGCGCAGCATCCGAAGTAGTAAATTATCATTGGAATAAGATTCTTTCTGCTGATGCCAACCAGAAAGTAATTAAGAGAAACGGTCAAATCTTGTACTCTTCCAAAGAAATCGATGCATCAAAAGGATCACCCTTGAAGCCAAGGTATACACTTTACTGCATCAAGGGCAAAAGAGAAATTATTCCTTTCTATTATCATTGGATAAAGTGGTGGGGAACACGTATTAAAAAGAGAATGAAGGGCTTGAAGGGCTTGAAGGGCTTTTGCGCTTTACTAGTAATATAGTAAAAGTTCCGTTAGCCCATTCACCACTGCACACGTCCAGTTTTGTAGCCAGATCCTGGATCTCATGAGATTAAACCTATTTTTGTCCTATAAAATCTCCATATGGACCTGCTTTGCAGTTGAAGCTTATCTAAATGTAGCACGTTTAACTAGTTACAACTGCTGCAAACGGTTATCCTTCTGCTCGTACTTTTCCTTTATTTACCATACATGAATAAACGATTGACATCGCTACGCCTGCAGGGAATATGGATGACTAGATCTTTACGTGATAACTGGTTCGATAATTAGGGACCGTGATTGCACCCATTATTGCATTCCTGTCCTTTGGGCCCATGTATACGGTTTACCAAACACTACTTGATACCAAAATAACCAATTAGATGGTGATTGGTGAAGGGAATCAATTCCTTCAAATTGCTTACTCAGGAACTATCGATTTGGCAAATTTGGGAATTTAAATCTAATGCAATAAATTCCTCGAAAAATCCAACTCACCATGCACATCAGGAATGATTGAATGAACATGTCGTCACCAGTCGTGTCAGAAATCACTTATTCCTGGAAAATGTCTCCCTATATCCTTGATGAAATTTTGAGAGCCTTCTATGAATTTTGGATCTACAGTAACCAAGTGATTTTCTAGTGTGATTTGGGCAACTGGCACTGGTAGGCGAGATGTTTGGCGAATTTTCTTTCCAAAATCACCTGTTCCTCCCAACTACGGGAAGCTCCAAAAGATCATATTTCACTTTACAAAAAGCATGTATTGGCATAAAAGCAGTTAACCAATCAACTGGAAAGCCAATTATATTCGACTTATGAACGGTCATATTAAAAACTTAGGGTCCGCTTGGCTTGTAGGAATAGGGGTCTGGAATCTGAATCAGAATGGTGCATCCCAAACCCTATTACTCTAATTTATTCAAGGGCTAAATGCAATCTTGGTTGATTCTATTTTTGGCTTCCAAATTACCCAATTCAAGCAGTTCTTTGTAACCCGTCAAAATGATAGAAACCAATTAAGTGGTTTTCTTGAAAAATTCACCCATGGGGAGTGTTGATTGGTCAAGGCTCTTCAGGCATCATGGATTTACCTCTGAATAAACATGTTGAGTGGCATACATTCAAATGACTAGCCCAGAGACTGGTCGCGTTCAATCTATTCGGATGGTTGTAACGCTTTGGGGAATTTATTTCAGCATTCTTTTGGCATGGAATACAACAGAAATAAATTAGGAAAAATACAATATACCTGCAAAAAAAATCCTTGAGAAAACATAAAACATAAAACATAGAGCGCTGCTATTTTACAACAATCCCGCAATCAACTGCAAAATTTCAAACGACGTTAAAGACGGTTGTAGTCAGTGGGAGAGGGTCCGCTTTTCTCTCTATCTAATCTAATGCTGAATATCGATTGCCGAACTTCGAGGATGTCCTCGTCCTCCAGCACTCCTTTGATTTGGTGCAGGGCCCTGACCACCTCTCCATTGATGAAGAGTTGCAGTCGAAGATGTTTGGTGACCCAAGTATCCAGCCCCGGGATGAACATTAGGTCCACCAGTGGGCACCACTACCGCGGTTCTAGGAGCATGCTGTGACCTCCCACCACGTAGTTGACCAGGTGAGTAGTCATCGTCTGGACTCCAACCACCTCCGAACTGTGGATTAGCCGATCTTTCATATGGGTGTTGTGAAGCGGAAGCATAATGCAGTCTGTTTCCATTATCTGTTGGATTTTGAGCAGCAGTGGGATAAGAAAACCCATCAGAATGGTCTTGCCCCATGTGCCATTATCTGTTGGATTTTGAGCAGCAGTGGGATAAGAAAACCCATCAGAACGGTCTTGCCCCATGTGCCATTTTATGACGTTCCTGATAATGATGTCTGCCATTTTGTTTAGTATTCCCTGTAGCACAAGATTGCGGTGGGTTGGAAATATGATCAACCCCATTATGTTCCATCCTCGTCTGTAAGCTGTTAACAATAAGTCGATGTGCGACCTCCCCAAGCTGTCGACCAGAAATGGCTCCACGAGGATTTTGCCTGAAACAAGTGAGCAAGTAATTAATTGTTTTACTTTGTCCTTTTAGAACGAAGGCAGAAAATCAGCGGTATATATTGGCAGAGTACCTTCCATTTTCCCACGGCTTCTTTCCATTATCTTCATGCCATAACACAGGAGCTGGCTTGAGATCCCCTACTGTAACAGTCTGCAAGAGGAGAAGATGCACGTTCAGATGGCACAGTATTTCAAGCAACCAAAGTCGGACCACAGGGCAAATTCCTAGGGAGTGTTAAGTCCTCCCGTGGGGTCTTTCAAAGCTCACCACCAATTGAAAGCACAAAAAAGGTCATGCATATAAAAAGAAAATGATAATCTAACAAACTCATTATTGGATCAGGAATCCAATTCTGGATCCAGTAAAAATATAAAGCCCAATCTTTTGGAATCAACTCTCAACTAATTACATTTGATATTCATGCTTTTATCAGTATATCATCCAGAATTAACCACAAAGGTTTACACACAGACATGTAAAACTTGGGCGTGCTTAAGTTGAGCTTTTGTCAAAATTTTAATAGGCCTGAGCCCAAAATAGTGTAAAATGCTTACTCGGGCCAACCCAAGTTGCACCTATACATATAGGATTGTGTTTAGCATTTATTAGAAGACATTATGTTTAGCTTAGGACAAATACCTTAGAAACAAGAGTAGGACAAACAAAACATATGGTATGTAAATTTAATAATAGATAATAATAGGAGTGCAAATTAGGGTATAGTTAGGATTGGAGACCAAGTGATAACTCAATGTGACCATTTCCCATACCTTCGTTCAATAATCCATAACAAGGGAGATTGGAAATGTCACCTATCTATATAAATAACAACAAGAGGAGTGTTGTAGGCCAAGGATCTCTTACCACAGGCTTCATAGAGTCTCTTCTCCCCTTTCATACATGTGAAATATTAAAAATAAAGAATATACTAAAACTTTTAAATTAGGATTCTTTATTTCCCATCATAAAGCATCATAAAATTTTTACTTACAAACATGTCTCCCCATATGTTTTTCTTCAAACCATGAAACTTTAGGCTAAATTACAAAGTAGCAATTAAGGAAGGGTTCCTGAATTAGCTCCCATCTTTACATCCAATCCCCCAATTAATATCTCTAAATTTACATTAGGAAATAAAATGTCAGAAATTAAATTCTATTCTCCTTTATTTGCCTTTTTTTATAAATCTCCTTTGTTCGTCTTTATTACACACAAATCACCAATTGAATTTGAATCTCTCCACCCAAACATTTCTTACACTTTTTTATTATTAAAATTTTCTAATATTTTTTATCAGTAACTGTAAAACTAGAATTTCCTAATATCTCTCAACCATAACCCCTCCTCCACCCAAGTGTTAATAACAGAAATTTTAAAATATCTTCCGTGGACATAATTAACCAAAATAGCAATTCTTCTTCAAAACATTTGTGTTTTTTTTAAAGGCATCAAAAGCATCTAGTTCTATTATAGAACCACTTGCATCAAATGGTTTATTTATCTTATTTTTTCCCCATGGCCTAACCAACATGGGGTGAATCGATCTTCTTCTACAAAATTCCAGGGACCCTTCCATGGGTTATCAGTTTTTTCTCCTTTTTTATTAATTTAACATAGATTAGGTTCATGGGTTGTTCTGATTAATTGTTTTAATTTCTCCTTCCATGGTTTATCATGTTTTCGCTTTATGTAATAAAATGTCAGGGAAAGCACTGAACGTGAGCCTTTAGTTATCTTTTTTTTTTTTAACTTGCTAATCAATTCATGCCAAGAACTTGTGCACTTCTCAATTCTCATAATATATATAAATTGGGGATTTTCCTAGATTTTGAACATGAAACACTAATGAAACAAAAAGCAAGCAGCAGAAATAGACATTCTTTAAAAGGTAAGTGGTTCACAGGTTCTAACTTCTGTTATACCTTCATTGGGAATATAACCCCAGCTGGCGGCTTAGTAATATGTTTATGTGCATTTGGAAGTCTATATATAGCACATCTGAATTGCAAAAAAGGAAGAGAGAGAGAGAGAGAGAATCAGTAACATGTACTTAAAGTTTCAATTCATCTAAAAGATTATTCCAAGTTCAGAAAACACTTACATGACTTGATTATTCATAATATCTTCCATTCCAGTAACAGGACATCGGAAAACAGGAGGACAAGGATCTCCATTACAAAGCGATATGTACCCATTCATCCCACCACTGCATGTAGTCCTAAAATAAAATCAGAGGATTGCACAAAACAGATTTCTTCAAATGAGAACAGAAAGCACAATGGCACAGAGAACAAAAACTTAAGTAAGAACTAGAGCTAAAGTCACATTAAAAGGATGTTTATCATCTGGATGGTCAGAAGTGGATATCGCTTCATAACCAAAAAAACATAAAAAGTGGATATCGCCATATTAGGCATATTGATCAATTGTTTTAAGGCAAAGAGCAACTGGTAGAATTGGATGACCCAGGATTTGGCCTAAATGGTTCTTATTGGTCATAGACTATATCGTGACAAAACACTTTAATTTTTAGCATAAATTCTTCTCTAACACCTTGTTCATCCATGCCCTTGCTGTGTCTGGTAACATAGATTGTAAGATCCAGATAGACAGTAAAACAGTCAAAACTGGTTAATCTGGGTGATAGAAACAGATGAATTCTTGAACTAGAAAGGTTAATGACACTACCAATGGGGTTAAATACAACCAGATTGGCCAACCCATACCAATTCATCCTCCTTCCAGGTCTTATGTCTGACCAAGTTATCTTTATATTGTATAAATTTATTGAACAGGAGACCATTGCTGGTGAATGATAAAATCTCAGGCTGGCAAACCTGAGAGTCAGAGAGCAGTCATCTTGTGCAAATATTGCCTAAGGTTAGGTCCATATCCAGTCCACCCTCCCAAGACCCCAAATAGCCAGGACCAACATTGAGCAATGACACTTTTTATAAATCAATTAAACAAAGGGCTTTTTAGATTTTTGTGCAAATAGATACAGGGTGCTCTTTTTTGATAAATAATAGATACAGGGTGTTATTGAGCAATGCTGTTTAGAAGTAATATGACTTACCTATTACATTTCATCTTAATCTCCCTTTTACCCCTCCACAATGGCACTTACTCATCCTCATCTCTTCCACTTCTTGAGTTTTCAAAGGGAAGCGAAAGGGGGTTGGTCATTGCTTCCTCCACCTCAAAGATGAATGGTGGACCATCTGGCTTTCCTTGATCTGGAGAAGACCAATACCATGCCACTGAATCCCCATGAACAACACCAGAAGAGGAAGAGGAAGTGGTCCAGAAGCCCAAAAGGAAAATTCCGCTCATGAACCCAAATCAAAAAGACTGAAAAAAAAACAACTCAGTCCGGCATTCCAATGCCTCCAACTTCCTTGACAAGATGCATGCTAGGTTGTTGGGAGGCCATTTCATGATGACAAAAGAGAATCTGTACACTTGCAGTGGAAATAAGGCTATTAAATTATTTCAAAGAACCTCTGCCTGACAAGAAATGGACAAGAAAAATAGATTAGAGAAATGGATCGTGATCTGTAAGACCTGCACCTTTCCGCATTGGTTTTTTTTTTACGTGATTTATAGCAGTGCTTGGTTCCTAAATAGTTCTAACAACTTATCAATTTAGAGATCACTATGTTCTTTCCCATACTCTTCCCCCCATTGATTCTGCCTAGCTAGTTTCCTTGTCTAGCATTTTCCCATCACTTGTTCCCACACATACTTGTGATTGCTCAAATATGTTTTTTGATCTCTTTTGGTGGATCTGAATCTGCTATCGTATAGTATAACCATCCTCAGATTCACCAACTGCTTTTGTTTATTTCCACCTAATGGGGTAGACTGGGTTAGGTTGCCGTACATTTCAAGTTGTTAGGAATGTTAGATAAAAGGCCATTTACAGATCACCAACTATTTCTCTGATATATTTTCTTATCCATTTCTTTCTGCAATATATCAGATCTCCGCACACTGCAATAAGAATGTAAGTTGTGGTTTAGATCAAAGCTCAAGACTTTGCAATCCTCTAACAGCAGCAAGAGTTCAAGGAAGGCAAGGGCTTCCTGTAAATTCTCAGGAAGGCAAGGAAGGCAAAGATTTTGCAATCCTCTAACAACCAAAAGAATAATGATTTGAATGAAATGCTCAAGCAAAGAGTTTTGGAGGAAGAAAATGCTCAGAAAGGCAAGGGCTTCAAATTTATTGTCAAACACTTCCAGGGCAGCATTGGAATCCATTCTGAAAGAAACATAAGTTTGTCCTCTGTTGCAGAAAGTGCAAAGAATCATTTATAAATTATAAGACATCAATATTTTTGTTTCGGGACTATTCAAACAAGAGAGAAAAATGAAGACCTTTAGAGTTCAGATTTTTTATTGACAGTTGGTGTTTGGATTGAAGAAAGAGAGAAAAGGGAGGGAGCAAGAGAAGCGTGATGATTTGATTATTCTCTGGCTTTGAAGTGCTGTGTAGGGTTTTTGAAAGAGTCCTCTTTGTTTCTGGAATAACAGTCAAGTGTATGTTTTGAAAATTTAAACAACAGTAAAGGGCATTTTTGTCCTTTGATTTTTCCTTTCAATCTTAAAAGTTAAATGCTTTAAGAAGGTATATTTAAGTAGTGTAGTGAAATCAAAGGGTACATTTAAGTAATTAACCCTAATAAAAATTGCTACTCACATAAAAGAACCTGAAAAGAATGTAATAGATGCATTGTTTGATATGTCCAAGGCACTAGCAGTACATGGTTTGATATAAAACTTGCAGTGTGCATCCTATATGATTAGAATGGAAAATTAGCTTTATATGTGTGAGAATAAGGGTCATGGTGGCTTGCTACTTAGATGGATAGAAAATGGCCCTTGAGCTAAAACCATTTGATGGAACTTATCATTGGGATTGTTGTAAGTAGACCTGTTCATGGGCCAGGTGGCCCGACAGGCCGGCCCGGCCCCCGGACGGGCTTGAACATGTTTATAGGTCCGCGGGCTTAAACTCGGGCCAAAAAGCCCAGCCCGCAATAAATTCAATCCGGGCTCGGGTTTTGTCAAAATAGCCCGGCATGACCTAAAATTAGACTTAAAATGGGTTATGTGATTATGTCCATTTGAATAAATTTTTTTATTTAAGAATGTAAAACTGTGTTTTAAAACGTAAAAGAAAGGGAAAAAACCATCTTGTAGGCCCATTGTTCATTTAGATAGGAAAAAAAAAACATCTGAATTTTTAATTCTAATTTGAATAGGGAAAATTGTAATATTTTTTATTAGGTCGGGCTTCGGGCTTTTTATCAAGGTCGAGCTCGGGCCCAAGTTATAGGCCCGTTGGTCGGGCCAGGCTCGGGCTCGGGCCTAGCATATTTCCATTAATGATGAGTAAAAGCCCGGCCCGAGCCCGGCCCAGCCCGGCCCATGAACGGGTCTAGTTGTAAGTGAAGTTGCATTACCAGGATCATTTTTTGACAAGTCACACTACCAGGATCATAGCCCTTGTATAAGTGCAAACAAATATTCTAATATATTGATGATTAAAAATGGTCCTAGAGTCCTCAATGTGAAACTCATTTGTACTATATCAATCCCAAGGTTCAAAATATCGCAATGTATCAGGCCGTATCGCACATATGGGCCCATCACGGGCTGTTTTGGGTCTGTATTGGCAGATATGGTTCCGAAACAGTCCAATACAGCCCAATATACTTGATAGTTTCAGGCCCCCTTCTCAATCTATATTTAATACTGAATTCTCCCTCATTAATTTCGAAAATTACTCCTAAATTTAAGTCTAATTTCTCTATCATTAATTAGTTAATTACTTCTAAAACAAATTTAAATTTTAAATTTGAATTTTAGCGCCTAAGTCAATTTCTCTCATTAATTCCGTTCATTAATGATCCTCTCTCTCATTAATTTAGTTTTTTTTTGTAACTTCATTAATTTCGTTTTGTTACTATAAAAACTACAAACTTTAGGTGAGATGGCCAGACTTGAACCTTGGTCACTAGACTTTAACAACCATAAGTTCACCACCAAGCCGCACCCACTTGTTTGTTATGACTTATGAGTATATGCATTTTTTTTTAAGTACTTATTCTCTTTTCTTAGTGGGTGTTTATTAATAAATGCTAGAATTAATTATTAAATTTTATATACTAATAAATATTAAAATAAATTATATTGGTTATTTGAAAATTGATGTATATGCATTCATATTTTAGTTTTTTTTATTTTTCACATTTTAGTTATTCCATCATTCTTCAATGGTTACTAATTGTGTCCCAATATCTCACCCTTCATATAAATAATTAAATTATGGTTTTTTACATTTAAATTACCTTTTTAGAATCATATAAAACTTGTAATTATTGTTAGTAATATATTTTTTTAGGATTTATTTGAATTTCTTAACATATTTATGCATATCTTGATTTTTCATCCGTATCCATGCATATCCAAAGCATATCCCGATACGTCTCTTAAAATTCTTTTTCATACACCTTGCATTTCCGATACTTTGAACTAGGGGTGCTTAGGGGTGGATTTGAGTCGAGCCGAGTCGAATAGTACGAGGCTTAAGCTCGGCTCGCCACTGTTGTACAAGGCTCAAGCTCGGTTCGAACTAGAACATTGAGCTCGAGCTCAACTCAAGTCAAAAACTCATAAGCTCAAGCTTGATTTCAGAAAAAATGTTTTATAAAAATAAAAAATTATATAAAAAATATTTTTTATTTGATATTAAAAAATTAAGAATTATATATATATATATATATATATATATATATATATATATATTCGAGCTCGGCTAGTTTATTAATCGAGCCTATAAATTGGGGTCAAGATTGGTTAAGACCAAGTCGAGCCGAGCATTTCACGAGCCAAGCTTGAGCAGCTCGTGAATAGCTCGGCTCGTGGCCACCCCTAGGGGTGCTCACAGTTCAGCTAACCAAACCGTGGGCATATTTTTGAAACTGAACCAGGGTTACCGATTATTGGAAAACCGGTAACCGGAACCGAACCGAAGCTGATCAGTTAACCGGTTGACCGGTTTGGTTAAACATCGGTTCGATTTGTCCATTCATCAGTTTTTTTATTATTTGCAATATATATTATAAAAAAAATATATAAAAATATAATAAAACACTAGAAATATATATAAAATATTATATTTTAAATAATAAATAATATATTATATATTATAAATATATATTTATATATAATGCATATTTATTAATTTATAATGTATAGAAAATATAAAATATATATAATATACATAAAATATATATAAATAAATGTATATCGGTCGGTTCAGTTAATCGTCGATTTTCTATTTTGGTTAACCGAAACTGAACCAGTACCTTTGTTTGTTTTTTAAATACCAAACCAACTAGTTTGGTTAACTGAATTTTCGGTTCGGTTTCGGTCGGTTTGGTTTTCTTGCTCACCCCTACTTTGGACCTTGATTAAACCCCTTGTTCAAATGTTCCAATCACACCCTTTCATCCTCCATAGGACGGCATTCACTGTCCACCTAAGGAGATTTTTTTTTTTTTTTGATAGATAAAAATTCAATTGATTTCATTAGAAGCAAATGATAAATAGTCTATTACAAGCATCTCAATATGAAGCGCGAGGTGCAGCCTCACTCATTAATACAGCCTCACCTAAGGAGAATATCACCATGGCCCATAAACAAAAGTAAGCCTTACCTTCCCTACAAACCTATAATTATTAGGTGCTTCAAGCTTCATAAGATAAAATATATTTTGGAAAAAATGAAACTAGTGGAGCTATAATAGTTTTTGATTGTTCCAATAAAAAAAATAATAGTTTTTTTATTGAAGTTGATTTAGAAAGTGGAGAAGATGAGCAAGAAGTACTATTGGTTGAAACTCATGGTAAAAAGTTCAGTGTATCTGGAAATAGAGAGGTTAAGGGGTTGAGTTTGCTCTTGGAATGTGAAGGGGTTGAGAGAACATAGGAGAGTGGTAAGATGGTCAGAATGTAACAAAGTAGAGGTGCTATTGCTTCAAGAAACTTGAAGATTTGAATGGCATGTTGTGTGGAAACTTGTGGGGTGGAAATAATTTTGAGTGGCATGGTTGAATCAAAAGGTCTGGCTGGGGGTATATTAACAATTTGGGATGCCTTAGGTTGGACATTTAAGGAGAATGTTCTGTCATTGGCATTGATGTGTCTTAAACCAGATCCAAAAGTGGTAACTAGAAGTGTCTATGGGCCGATTGGGAAGGAAACAGGGAAAAATTGTGGAACAGGAAGAGGGGTGGTGCGGTGGGGGAGGAGCCTTGGTTGGTGGGGGAGATGTGTGTAGAAGGTTGAGTGAATTAAAGGGTGGTAGGAATAAAAGGGTGCCAGGGGCTCCATTGTTGGCCCTCTTTGTGCAGCTTTTGGGCAGCACTCTCTCCTGCCTATTATATATTAATACAATTCTGTTTTAACCTTTCAAAAAAATAGCAATAATAATAAGCTGGCGGCAAATAACAAACTCATCCTTGCCAGAATCCTTAAAAAAGCTAGCATATGGCCTCTCCACCACCAAATTAAATTTTGAAGGATGCAGTCTGGACAATCCTGGTTTAATGGAGAATAAGGGGTGTATTTAGAAATTACGAAGGTGCAATCTTGACAATCTATTATTAAGGTAACTCAATCAAGACAGAAATGATGGCACTAGTGCAGGGGTTGAAGCTTGGGAAAACATTAAATTATAATAACTTGCTAATGTAAGGTGATTCTCACACAATCATTAGGTGGATGAAGAACAACAATTAAGTGCCCATGGTGCCATAGAGATGCCATATGAGAAGTAACTGGGTCAGCAAAGGAAATGAGAGCCACATTCAACTGGATAAGTAGAATAATCAATGGAAATAGCAGAAGCATTGGCAAGACTAGAGGCCAACAGGAATGTTTATTTTGGGGGACCACAAAAAGTGAACAGGAAAATGCAGTATCTTAACTAAAAGGAGTGTATTATAGGGAGGGGAGTTTAGCTCCTCTTTTTAGCTGAGGGGTGCTTGGGAACAACCTTATTTCTACATATCTTACATTTTTTTCCACAAATCAATAAAATTCGCAAGTTATCTATCAAAAGAAATAGTTTTACTAAGAACTTAAAAATTTTGAGGAAAGCTCTAAAATAAAGAAGGGTTCCCCTCTCTAAAACTGAATATTAAAGAAAATGAGTTAACTAAAGGGTGCTCAGATACCCCAAGCTAGCATTAAGAAATATGCTTTAAAGTTGCCAATATGTTACCAATAGCCGAAACTTGCTAACCTGGATTTGGGATAAACTTTTTCTTTAACTTCTATTTGTTCTTTGTCTGGCAATTGTCTACAGCGATCACTAAGGGAAAATATATATGGAGAGAGAGGATGTGATGAAGTCACAAAAAGCATGTCACACATCACACTGTTTCTCCGCACTTCTTCTTCCTACAGCAGAAATGTGTACAAATACTGAGCTCTTTAAAACCAAATATGACTTCTATATAATAATCTATAATCTTAGTTTATTTAAAATAGTTGCTTGGCTAAACTACCATACCGTCAAAGTATATTCATATTTTTCAATCTCAGCAAGAAGGCGGTCTTCATCAATAAAAGGTAATTTGGCAATACCCTTCAAAATAAAAAGAATATTCATTAACGAAGAATTCAACTAGGAAAAACTTGTTACTCTAGACCTCCATATCTGTATAACAAATTAACAAATGTTACTATACAGAGAAAAAGAAAATCCAACCTGCCAAGAATATCGCTTTCCATTCATGTCCACTTCAAAATCTGACCAACATAATCAAGGGGGGAAATCATAATATGCATGCAATACTCTAATTTAAATAGATGATGACACAAGAACAAAGCATACCAGTTGGATAAAAGTCAATAATAGGTGAGTTTAGGTCAGTCATCAATTTTCTATAATGCTCAGGAAGTGCATGGGAACTACAAATAGATCAACCAATCAGAAAGTCCTCACAAGAAAAAAGATCATTTGAAGTTAAATATAAACTAGAAAAAGAAAAAAAGGAATGGCAATTATTCAACCTTGCAGCTGGAAAAACCCCCATCAGTTGATTGAATGGCTTAAAAGGGGCACCTAGTGTAAAGCTTATCTGCAATTGATCGAGATCCCTGAGATCAGAAGCAAAAGGTGCATAATGATACGGATAAAACCTGGAAAAAACCAAAGAATTTCCAAAAATAAATAGTTGGCAACTGATCAAGATCCTTCAGATCAGAAACAAAAGGTGCATAATGATAAGAATAAAACTTGGAAAAAAATCAAAGAATTTCCAACAAATGCAAAAGATGGAATATTCAGAAGAATCCAAGTATTCAAAAAGATAAGACCGCTAAATCCAAGCAGGCCTTATTTACCCATATTATTTTCCTTACTTGGTGATTGGAAGCAAATTTTTGTGATGGATAAGCTTCATATTGTATGAAGGAAAAACAAGTTCCATATGCATTTGAACATATGTAGGATATGTATCCAAATTTGTACTCTAACCCATCCATTTGGTTGTATCTAGCAATCAGGCACAATACATTCTAGTTCACAAATGACTTAACATAAAAAAACAAGAGAACCTTACCACTGCCAAGAGTAAACACCTTCATAATAATAGTGCATAACCCAGCATAGGCCCTCCGTATATCTTAGAACCTAACAACAAATAAAAAAATGAAATCTCTACTAATTAATGTTAATCTAAAGAAGCAAGCATATAATACATAATTGGAAAAAATCATAAAAAATAGGGTGAGAATTTCTTAAAATGGCATTCACAACAGAATATCTGAAAAAATAGAAAATCCATAAATATGCTTACACGAGAATGAATATGGGTGTATATGCTCTGCATAATGTACACTTGGTGAACTACGTGCTTGTAGATTTGGCTGTAGGCACATTTGTGAAGGACTACACTCCTTGCTATTGTGGATGCCCATGACTCGATTCTGGGCTTCATGCATGAGAAACACCAGGCTGACCTGTTTAAGGAGCTAACTTCAGGCCTCAGAGGCGATAGACTTAGTCCAGAGGACAAGATCCACTGTGAAACACTATTCCATGGATTATGTTGGCACTCAACATGGGCCTATAGAGACTGAGGTGATCTGTAAAAAGGGGAAAAACCTATAAATGACCACCATTGAAGAGAGAGCAGTCAACCCATTTTTAAGATAACCTGAGAACCAAACAACATCTACCTCTCTCAGTCCAACTCTTCCAGTGGCATCCCATCATCCTCTGAACCATTCCCACTTTGTGTCATCCTTGATCCCTATCGTCATTATTCCAGAAACCAGACTGGTAATGTCAGGTAACTGTTTTAGGCCAGCCTGGTATGCTCTCTTTATCCCAGAAGTCTTACCATCATGCATTACAGTAATTAACAAATATAAGAAAAAAAAAGGATAAATGCAGTATACTCCCCACAGCATTTTTTTTCCCGATTGGAAACTTTAAAATCTTGTTGCTTGTCAGAACAGAGTAAAAAAGAAAATATATAAAGTGACATTATACATTATTTTACAGTCAGAATTATGGAGCTGAACAATTGCTGCTTCCCCCCACACCCCCCCCCAAAAAAAAAAAAAAAATCACATGAGGTAACCGAATGATCCTTTCTTTCCTCACACTAGCTCCTGTCTACTAACACCTTCACGAGAAAGGTAGCCTGCATGAGAATTAGCTGACTGGGGGATCCATGTTGCTTCAGCTTGTAATGACTAAGCCCGAATGTGGCCTGTCCTATTTGATGCCTAAGATTTCAGTCTCTCCATTTAACTCCCACCACAGCAGGATAAGATTTTATTAATGATAAAATGAAAGAACAAAACCAATACAAAACAGCACAAGGCTGAGTACAACAGGAGAGAAAAAAGAGGCTTTACATTGATCTGATAGATCAGCCCCTAGCTCTGGAGCCCCTGATCCCCCAACCCCTTCTCTGGCCAGAGAAAATCAGCTAATGCATTAGCAAATATAGGAACCCACATGAACAAGCAGTCCAAGTGGGATGCTAATACCTAAACTTTTCTAAGAGAGAACCTAAGGGGCCAGCACCTACTTTTGTCTGATGACAACTGACAACCAAACTAAGGGGCAGAGGACTAAGATGAACAATCAGTGTAAATTTTGTATCCTACACCTTCTCCAGCCATGTCCTTGCCACAACCAAGTAACATGGATCCACCAAATCTCCTTTGAATTCTCTTTTGTTAAGACCCATTGAGTAATCCCAATTGCAATGAAATCAATACTGGAACTAACCTTTTGTCCTTTTACTTCTAAGATTCAATTATTTCTTTCATTTCAAACACTCCACAAAGAAGCTGATCTTGTTCCACAAGATCTTCCCTCTTTTAGTACTCAGAGAGAGGAAAGCAAACATGAAAAGGCACCAATAAGGCTCCAGAAAGAGGGAAGAAATGGTTACAATAGCTGATATGTAGGAGTAAGACAGAAGTAGGTGGTTAATATTCTATCCAGAGGGTAGAATTATATCTTTGTATTCAGGTCCTGTAGGGTCTGGGAGACTCTACAAGGCCTGAACTGCTTGCTGCTGTACAAGGAATCCAGCTTGCAATTCAGCTAGGAATAGAACATTTGCTTATTGAAGGGGACTCCCAGGTGGTTGTGGGATCAGGGATGGTTGCTGAATCCGGACTCTGATCTGGGGCCATAGAGATCTCCTTAAAAAGGTTAAGTGGCTAACAAGGAATATGACAATTAGAGTCCAGTGGGTAGGCAGATCAGCTAACTCGATGGCTGACTCACTTGCTAAACAGGGGGTTTCTCGGGCTTCTTTATTTTGTGTTACCCTGTAATTTTTATTTGAACTTATAATTCTTTGACCAATCTTAAAGGAAAGGTCGCATCTCATGCCTTTCCCTGGGTTGCCTGTAACTCTTATCTGCTGGATTAATAAAATTTTACTCATTTATCAAAAGCAAAAATATTATATCCACAAGTACAGGTTGTACAATGACTTGATCTTGGGTAGAGAGGAGCCATCCTTGGGGGAGAAAAGGAAGAGGTGACCTGGGAGGCATATAAAGGAATTAAAAAAAAAAAGGAATCAAGAAAACAACAAGAAAAATAACCCAAAGGCTCCAAGATGATATCCAAGGCTCACCTTAACCATTATTAGAAATTGTATCATTTAGCAGTAATGAATACTTTTATTAATGATCAAGTAAAACTTTTTGATGGCTATAGTCATGGACATCCAGGGAGATAAGTTGCGGGAGATCATAGATAACATTGGAGAGATCTTAAATTGTACACAGGCCTCATTGACACCAGAAATTCTGAATGAATTGCTCTCGTTTAGAGGGATTGCAATTAGCCAAACCTATGCGATACTATCTTAAGGTGATTTTCGGATCCTATTTCTTCTTGAGAGATTCAAAGATCATTTATGGATGGATGGGGGAACATGAATGAATGCAATAAGAGAGGCTAGATTTTGGCAGGCAACTGTGAAATTAACTAGACCATTTACACCAAACCCTGTGTACAAAGAGAACCCGAACAAGAAAACAAAAGTACAGAAGCAAAAAATCTTATAATAATATGTACTGAAAAGGTATTCATAAAAAAAAATATATATGTAATGAAAAGATATTCAGAATAAAGATATTTTATTGTTAAAATTTTTTATACACTCTATAATCATAGCATACACATTAACAAGGCCATTTTCAAAAAGAATGTAAAATATTAGACTAGACTACAATAACCTAATGTAAAGTGATATTAGCATTCCATTTCAGTTCATTTAACTTACAACATCTTTTCGTGTTCTTTCAAGTTCATCGGAAGATTTTGCAGAAAACTTTTCTTCATAATACCGTTCTTTCCACCCTGGCTCGCCCAATTTTACCTGATAAGAGGGGATGCCAGACCACAACTTAGAATTAAACAATCAAAACAAATCAGAGATAAATCCAAACAAAACCAGATTTTTAGCAAACAAGGCTGGTAGTGTGAACTTTAAAAATGAACCACCTTGATATAGAACTATAGATATAAATTGCACATTAAATAAATACAAACAATAAAAGAAACTGCATCTGCAAATTCAAACCTTGTCCTCTGGATTTTCTTTGTTAAAGAGGTCCGACTTCTCACGGAGTAACTCCTTTAGCTTCATCTTCAATGCCTCTTTGTTTTCATGTATCTAAATTTGATAATAACCAAATAAATGTCATTGAGAAAAAAAAATAATACTTCAGTTGTCAATTACTAAATTATAAAGCACTAAAAGAAATATTGCTCCCTTCCAGTAGTTGTATCAAACTAGTGATTGGCTTATAGAAAAATATTGCTTTGGAATGAGAATTACATTAAATTCTTCCTAATACATACTTCTATCTCAAGACTGTTTTCAGCTTCAACAATGGCAGCACCAATGGTGGATCCTGAAGACAATCGTGGAACTTTTTGCCTTCTTCTAATGTCAAGGACTGACAGACCCACGGTAGCTTGACCAAGCTGATTTTGTTTTCTAATAGATACTGAACTTTCTGAATTGTAACTAAATCCTGATTGTTGAAATGGTGATGGTGATGGAGCAGAAGCAAGACGAGAGCCATGAAAGTGAGCAACTGGAACCAAAGAATCAGGTTTGACTTGAGGTTCTGCATCATCTCCTCTTTTCATTTGCATTTTTTCACACTTTATTCGTTCTGCCTGGCGCTGAAAAACAATATGCAGCAAAACTTGACTATTAGGGTTTCCGCCACTTCAAATCAAGAAGTAGGACTTGGTAATTAGTGAAATATAGCACCTATCAAATTCAGAACCAGACATCTAAAGACCAATATCTCTCTAGAGACAAACAAATTGTTTCAAAAAATTACCATATAATAGATTATACAGTAGGATCAAGCACCAAGGATAGCAAGTACAAGATTCGAGTAAAGCTATACCCAGCTTAGACCTTGGGTAATCACATGATGCCAACTCGGGAATCAGATAGATCAACCTAGCTGTATGAATTTTTGAATACATCAAATTAAAAAAAATAAATAAATAAAAATTTGGAAGTTACCTAACCACCTGTAAAAGGCAGTTAAGTTCCAAGATTTTAGTTGAAAAAGATTGTGAACACTCTAAGCAAACTAAACAAGTCCATACAAGACATTTTGATTTTAAGAATCAGGAAATTTGAGTTCCTCATGACATGTCTCCAGGTTTTGACCTCAGCAAGTACCAAAATTGACCAACCTAGTTTTTGAACAAGCCAAACTACTTTGAATTGGGAAATGTAAACAAATCCTTAAAATACTATGCTATAAGGATATCATACAACATTTCTTCACAAAACAATATATCACTCACTCACATTTAACATGCATATCAGAATACTCGGCAATACAGCACATAATGACATAACATGATTTTTTTATGGCAAGTCACAAATACAACAGTGAATTAGATTTTAATTGCAGAAATAGAAATCTCCTTAGTCCTTACCATACAAATAGGCAGATAGCAAGTTGCAAATAGAAACAGCCAAAAGCTAACCATATTGACTATTATATTATAGAAATAATTCTTTACTAATCACCCCTGGTCCAGGTGTTAACCAGAAAAGGTTCTCTCTTGTAACCCCTGTTTTAGCCAGAGAATATGTTCAACAGCTGGCAGTTCTTGGAACCTACCTGAATGAGCAGTTCAGGCTATTGGCTAATGTTGTTGTTCTCTAAGTATAACCTACCTATTCCTTTGACCTTAACCAGAGAATATAGTTATCAAGATGTGCCTAAGCATCACCTAGGCAGCAAGGGACCCTTGGTAGGGTACCTCACCTAAACACCATGCCTCTGTAAAAAAGGAGTCTGCCTAGGTGACTAGGTGCTTTGCTAGGTGGTGATGTTCCTTCTATGTAACAAAAATCACAAGGCAGGCATTTTATTGAAATGCTACGGGTATATTATTATCATTATTATTATTATTATTTATTATTTTGATAATAAATAATAAATTCTATCATAAATTATTTTGACTATGGCTATACTATTATTTTGATAATCATACATTATTATTTATGTACTTTTAAGGGTTTTACCTTTAAAACATAGAAGATCCAGAGGTTAGAAGATAAAAAGAAAGAAGGGGCTGAGTATGTAAAAAAATTCGGCTGTAAAATTCAGGAGTCAAATGCTTGAAAGTGTATCTAAAAAAAAAATGAGGATGGCAAGGCTAGGAAAGGAAATTGAGTGAAGTGGAAAGACTAAAAAGAGATGTAGAAGGGGATAAGGAACCTAGTGGAAGAAAGGGGGAGTAAGAGGGAATAAGTAGGAAAAGCCGGGAAAGGGGTCAAATTTGTGTCAGCAGGAATGAAAATTGTAAGCTGGAATGTAAGAGGCTTAGGGAGGGCAAGGAAAAGGTCCATAATCAAGGAGGTACTTAAGAAGGAGAAGCCGGATGTGGTTTTAATTCAAGAATCGGGAGGTATTGTGATGATGTGATTTTTTTTTTTTTTGAAACAAAGATAACTTTACAGAAGTACATGAGAGGATGTACTGAAGCCAAGAGAGGCTTGGCACTTTGGCAGCATTACAAAGGCAAACACCTGTCACCAAACAAGAAATCTCTAGAGACCCCTGATTTTGCTAGGAAATCAGCAACAGAAATTTGCTCCCTAGGAATCCAGACCAACTTCACAAACTTCACATTCATAGAGTCTAGGATGTCCCTGGCTTCAGCTAAAAAGTGGGCTAATCTCCAGGGCCCTCCCTTGTCCTGTAACCAAACTATAGCATTTGCAGAATCCCCTTTAATTGTTAAGGAGGATAATCCTAGCCGCTAGGCGAGGCGAATTCCTGTGAGTGCGGCCAAAACCTCAGCCTTTGTGGCATCAGCCCTCCCAATCGGACCACTGTAAGCCCAGCAAATATTCCCCCTTTCCCCTCGGATTACACCCCCAATTCCTGCTTGACCTGTGGATCCTTGAGTGCTACCGTCAAAGTTTAGAGTCATTTCTCCTTCTTCTCTAGGAGCCTGTCTGATAGTCCACTCAGATCTTGGAGAGGAGTGTAGGATTTCTGGTAGGTTTCTCTGGAGATCATTTAGGGAGAGCCCCTTGAACACTTCAGAGTTAATTACCCAAAGGTTGCAGAGATGTGTGATGTAGGAAGTTAGATCTTCAACATTTCTAGCTTTATTTTCAAAGGTTCTAATGTTCCTTTCTTCCCAAATACCCCACCAGACTGCATGGGTCACTGTATTCCAGTAAAATCTTCCTCTTTTCCCAAGCCCTCTGCCTTGCCATTGCCACAAGATGTCCACCACCCTCTCCAGGAACACCCAGCTGTAACCAACTAGGTTTTGGGAAGAAGTACCAAACCTTTCTAGTGACCGGGCAGTGGAGAAGGATGTGGTCAGTTGTCTCCCTGTCGCCAAGACAAAGAGGACAAACATGAGGAGAGATGCATAATCTGCCTTTAAACTTTTTCTGCAACAACTCACGTGTTTATTCTCTTTAAACAAGCTTCCCACATAAAGAAAGAGACTCAACGGGGGATGTGTGATCTCCATACTTTCTTAGCTGGAAAAGGAGGCCTTTGCTCTTCTGACACTAGAGCCTTGAAGGAGTTAGAGAACTTACCAGCAGGATCAGGTTTCCAGATTCTTTGGTCAGGGGTAGTGGGAGAGATGTAGACCTCATTAAGAGAGTTTAGCAAACTAGCTATATCAGCAATTTCTATTTCCCTTAGAGGCCTTCTAAGGTTTAGGTTCCAGGTTGTTCCGGAGGGTGAGGGGTTGAGGCTAGAGGCTACCATGGCTTCTTTGGATTAGGACAGGTTAAAGATTCTAGGATAGGAGTTAGCGAGGGTGTCCTCTCCCCACCACAAATCAGACCAGAATTTGATTCTATTTCTATTCCCCACCTGGTATCTAACAATATCAAGAAAACTGTCATAGATAGAAGTAATATCTTTCCAAGGCTTTGAGGCTTTGACCCGGTTCAAGTGGACCTTTCTATCCCAACTGTTGGCATGTCTCCCGTACTTGCTCTTGATGATTTTTGTCCACAACGCTTCCGTCTCCAAGGGATATCTCCAAAGCCATTTTCCAAGAAGGGCCAAGTTCCTTTCTTTAATATATCCTAGTCCCAAACCGCCAACTTCCTTTGGTTTACAAACCTACTTCCAGCCTACTAGATGGCACTTGTTTTCACCACCCCCTTCCCAAAGGAAATCCCGTTGTAGTTTTTCAATCTTGCTTTTTACTTTGCCTGGGATTCGGAAAACCGACAGAAAGTAGGTTGGCAGGTTGGCAAGGGAAGCCTTAATTAGTGCAAGTCTTCCACCTTTTTAAAGAAAGCTTTTCTTCCATGTGGCCAATCTTTTCTCACATTTTTCCACTTCCGGGTCTCAAAAACATAGACTTCTCGAGTTCCCACCAAGAGGCATTCCCAAATAGGCAATAGGGAGCCTCTCCAACTTACACCCCAACAGCTCCCTAAACCTCTCCAATAGAGGGTCACCAACATTCAGCCCTACAATGCTGCTTTTAGAGTAATTAATTCTGAGTCCAGTCACCATCTCAAAACTATTAACACTCTCTTTAAGATGGAAATGTTCTCCCAATCTGCCTCCAGAAACAGTACAATGTCATCTACAAACATCAAGTGAGAAACCAAAACTGCCTTCCTACCTATCTCAAAACCTTTCAGCAAATTTAACTCCTTCGCTTCTTGTATAAAGTAACCAAGTACATCCGCTACCAAAGTGAAGAGTAGTGGGGATAGAGGGCACCCTTGTCTCAAGCCCCTATTTGCATTAAAGTAACCAATAGGTTCCCCATTAATTAGGACTGAAAACCAAGCAGAGCTAATGCACCCTTTTATCCATCTCATCCACCTTCTACTGAAACCTCTCAGGCTTAGAATCTCTAACAAGCAATCCCAATCCACTTTGTCATAGGCCTTTTCAAGGTCCAACTTGATTACTACCCCTGGCTTGCCACTTTGTCCTCTTTCTTCTACACATTCATTGACCACTAGAATGCTGTCAGTAATCTGTCTTCCTTGCACAAAAGCAAATTGGTTGTTTGAAATTAGATCATTCAGCACCTCCTTTAGTCTGGTCACCAACACTTCCGCTATTATTTTGTATAAGCTTCCCACCAAACTGATAGGTCTGAAATCCGTAACTTCTAAGGATCCCTTTCTTTGGCACTAGGGTGATGAATGTTGAGTTGTTTCCCTTGTTCACAATGGCTGATAGGTAGAAGTCTGCAAATACCTCCACTAGATCAGATTTTATTGTGTCCCAGCAAAGTTGGTAGAAAAGAATAGGGAACCCATCTGATCCAGGAGCTCTATCACCGTCCATCTTAAAGAATACTTCTTTAATCTCTTGTTCTTCAAAAGGTCTTTCTAGCCACACCCTTTTGTCTTCAGACAATCTTGGGCCTTCCCATCTGTTTAGAGGAATTCTGCTAGTACCATCCTTTGAGTAGAGCCCTTTGAAAAACTACACGATGACTTCTGAAATTTCTCCCTTGTCTTCTACCTCTCTCTGCCCCACCCTCAGTTTTGAGATGTAGTTCTTTTTTCTTCTCCCTGAAGCATAGCTATGAAAGAACTTTGAGTTATCATCTCCCTCCTTCAGCCATCTCACTCGAGACCTTTGTCTCCAATAGATTTCCTCCCTTAATATAATTTTCTCCCACTCCCTTCTAAT